TGCCCATCCTGGCTGATAGCCATTGATGGACCTATCCTCCATGAACTCAGGGCTGGCTCTCGGCACAATCTGACCGTTTTTTTTGTTTTTTGTTTTTGCTTGGGGAAGCAAAAATGGTAGAGCTGGCCCTGCATGAACTTATCTAGTTCTTTTTTGAACCCTGTTAGTGGTTCCACTTCCAATTTTCAAGAGTTCTTTCTAAGGCTGCTGTGCCCTGCTAGGACGTGTAGTTTGTAGGCGATGGGACTACTGATGCTGAATGCCATGCATGCAGATACTCCGAATCTCTCAGCACAGGGCACGGCTCTTTTGGAGAAGCGCGGCTCCAAGCTCTCGGAATGCAATGAGTGCTTTCTGAATGCCTTGAGTTTTTTGGTCTTTGTTTCCGTAGGCCAGAGGCTTCCACTGTCCAAGACATAGCATCTGCCGTCCACTTGTAACAAGAGCTCATAAACAACGGCTCCTTGTAGGGGTCCCAATCCTGACCAAGCCCTGCCGCTCTCATGCAGGCAAAACGTCCATTGAATCTATTGCTCTGAGAGAGTGAAGCTTTCTCTACAGTGTCTTCCTTGGAGGTACAGTGTGGTGGAGGGTGTTGCAGGCATAAAGTCTATCAGTGCGGCTCCTGGTAAGATGTTCACTTCCATGAGATGGAACCTTTTTCTTTTTCAGGGGTCGAGATCCTAGATGCAGCTTGGAACTTCTTCTTCCTCCTGTTCTCCCTGCTAGTTCTCATAGCTTAGGTGAGGTCAAGGCCCCTAAAAGATTACGCAGAAAGGACTTGTACTCCAGCTGAAATTGATGGGCATTTTGCCAGGGTGGAGACTTCATGATTGGACCTGAACTATTTCACCTTGGCAAGAGTGGGTTTTTTCAACCTGATGATGGATGGCTCCAGAGTGGGGAAAAGGTAAGAGGAGAAAACTTGAATTTAATGACTAGAACGACAAACTTTATTGCAGTGACTTTATAGGGGAAAATGTCTCACAATCTTCATTATATAACAATGTCCCGACAGACATGATGTCATTGCAGCTTAAAAGGTGTTTGAGTTGGAAAATCTTTCCAGCAGTATTAGAAGGGGGCTGTTTAAATGATTAATAAGATTTATACTTGTGATTTATTATCTGAAAATAAAAATGTACATTATGTATAAAATACGTATGTAAGGTATGATTGTATATATTAGTGTTACAAGTGCTATATTGCTAGACATTTATAAAAATAAATATGATTAACTTTAAAAGAAAAAATATGGCATTTGGTAAGAACTTCATATATTTATATACCTGTGTCCTGACAGTACATATTAGAATGAAGAAAGTGACTAGCCAGAATTTTATTTTGGATCAAATTTAACGAAAATTAAAAAAAATTAACGTCACTTGTTTTCCCTTATTCATATTTCACCTTCCCCAAATCTTTGCTCTTTCTGTCCACATTTAGAATATATTTGAATTGTCTGTCTTTAATAGACATGCCTGATAGCTAGAATAGTAGTTTTCGTTATTTCAAAGGTTGTGAAAGCTTATCTAACACAAAATATCCAAATTTCATCCAAATCTGATGTTTTCTGGTCTCTGCCCACAGGCAATTTTTTGTACAATTTCAGCAAAATCATCTTAGCTGTTTCTGAGTTCTGTGCGAGTTTTCCTTTGTAAAAACTTGAACACACAAAAACCCCACACTCATTTGTTCCTTGCAGGAATTTTGCCCATGCATAACTTTATAATGCTCAAATCCAGTCTGCTTTGCTCATAGTATAGATTTTGCTCAAACATAGCTTGTTTTGGAGATCTCTTGATATCTAAGTCACAAGCCAAGTTTCAAGGAAAGCAATTCAGAATGTTAGAAATGCTAAAAGCTGCAATAGTTTCACACATTCAAATTTTCCTTTATTTTATTTTCTCAGCCCAAACTTTGAAGGCTGAGGTTGCCTGCGGATTCGGATGTTCAGTTTTTACACTAATTTCAAATGTTGGTGGCACTATTAAGCACACAGAAAACTTTATAAATACTTCAGCGAGTCCAAGATCTTGTTAAATTCCCTTGTGGAAAAGGCCCCTAAAATTTAAAAAGTATGAAACAAAGAGGGTTCTGTAGCAATGACTTTAAACATCTATAGAATTTAAGAGAGATTAAGATCCTTCCTATGAAATTCATAAACCAGCATATAGAATTATATAGATAACTCTGCATCAATCCAAATCAGGAGTCTGAAAACACTGATTCTAATTCTTTTGAAAAAATTGGTCCTAGCTTGACTGAGACTCAGCTTCCTCCTGTAGAAACTGAAGATAGTTTTTCTTCTTCTTCCTTTTTCGTATTAGAATAGCCATGTTAGATGTTCAGGTCTAGATGGGCAATCCGATTAATTGCTTCAGAGGACATGCAGTGGATGGCAGAGATACCATTGGGTTCTGATTGTTTGGGACATTGATTGAGGAGGCGTTCCGTAATTCGAAGTCCATTTCTGCAGTCACAAACAGGACTGTGTTGCAGGTCCCTTTTTTGGAGAAAGCAGGTGCACCTGGCTCGTGACATGTGGATGTGAATCAAAGCGGACCATGTTTTCTGTGGGAATGAAAACCTCTGGGTTATTTGGTTGAGTCCTTGATGAAGTGTGTGTTTGGAATGTTGGTGTCCTTCCATCTTGTTCACCATTGATCTCTGGGGAGAACCCTGAGTGTTTGGGCTCTCACACTGCAAGCCGAAAAGGTTGTCTAGATTTGAGTCAGAATCTCGATATATTATTTAGGTCTTCCTGTACTGGAAGATCCTTGTTCCGTTGAATACAATGGAACTTCCAAAGGAGATTCATGTCATGGTGGATTTGTGGTGTGTGGATGTGCACCAGTATGGGAAACCACATTTGTGGCATTGATTTTACTGTGCCTGTAATGATCTGCATGGCGTGTTGAGAGTCGACAAGCGCTGTGTGGGAACTGTGTGTCCAGACACACAGCAGTATTCTGCTGTGGAGTAGACAAAGACCCGTGAGGACGTGTGCAGAGTTTTTGCATCAGCCCTCCAGGTCTTTCCTGTCAGTTTCTGGATGAGATGTACACGCATTTTATTTTGTTGTGGATATTTTTCAGGTGCCAGTGGCATGTGAGGCTTCAGTCGAATGTCAAACCAAGATATTTTGGGCTAGGATCATCTCTTCTGACCACAGAAGTTCATATGCGTTTCTGCCCTAGACTTTCGATTGTTTGGATGGAATGCTGACACCACAGCCGTAGTGGGGTTTGGTTTTAGATACCAGTATAAGAAATATTTGTCTGTGGTTTTAAGGTCCTTGGTTAGGGTTTGTTCTATAATAGATAAATCCTGTGCCTGTGCAGTCAGAGAAATGTCATCAGCATAGACAAATTTCCATGGCGATGTTCGCGGAAGGTTGCTAGGGTGGATATTACACAGGATTGCTTCTAGGACAGATCTCTGTGGTAGGCCAGAGCTGAGAGTGTGCGGCCTGCTTCCCTGGTCACCAAGGAAAATGTGAAACTTAAGCTTGGTCGGAATGTCTCAGAAGAATGTCATCATTGCATTGGGTGGGATAATACTGCTGGGTTTCAGGAGAAGGTTGTTCCTCCATACGGTGTCATAGGCAGCAGATGAGTTGATGAAAGCTGCCCCAGGCCTGAGGTTTCCCTGGAATCCTGCCTCAGTGTGTTGTTAAGGGTGTGAGTGCAGTGGCAGCCTGGTTGGAAACCCGCTTGTTCACTCCATAACATTACTCCTACAAGCGGCATGATCCTTGCCAGTAATGTCTCTCCATGAGCTTGTGTGATGTGCGGAGGAATGATACGGGCCAATATGGTGGGGAATTACTGGTTGGCTTCCCAGTCTTGACAATGGCCATGACCATAACCATAACCTCGCACCAGATCCTTGGGATGAACCTGGGGGAATGGCCATTAGAGTGCAGTGCTGCCAGCCATTTCCATCCCTTGGCTCCAAAGCTTTTAAGAAATCCTGGAAAGATGCCATCAGGTCCTATGGCTTTCCTTGCTTTCCTGAGTGAGAGGGCCTTGCTTGCCCCCTTGACAGTGAAGGACAGTGATGAGCGGAGGACGTGGGGAGAAAGCTATTTGTCAGAGCTCTCAGAGCACTTTGTGCTTAATAAACTTGTCCCCTGGTACTTGTGCATCCATAAGAAGCCTATGATTGCCCCACAGCGTGTGGTGGCTATGGAAATCACTGACATACATAGCCAGGTGATAAGCTATGGGGGAGAAGGTCAATCTATATTCAGTGGTTTACACACATTAACTACTGTTATCTTGCCGATTCTTATTGAGATGGTAAAGGTTCTGGAATTGCTCCGAGCATCTATCATGTCATAGTCCTTCCTTATATTTACCTACTTCCTAGGGGTAATGCAAGTCCTAAGGGCCTGACCTAAGGCGAGTCAAAACTCCCTTTGACTCAACTGGGACAGTCGGTCCCTAGCTGCATAACAGTTATAAAATGCCCAGCATTTGTAAGGTCAGTAAGTGAGAGAGGTTGGAAGAGAATTGGGAAGCTCTGGTTTCCTACCCCTGTGCTTGTTCCTTTAGACAATGGTTTCTCTAAGGAAACGCCTCCTTCTGCCCTTGGATCTCTCATGTGAAAACCCTGTAGAATTCTATCCTGTCTACAGGCTTGATTGGTCCATCCTACAGAATCTTCACAAAGAAGATCATTCTCTATGCAATTCCATAGGATGCCTCTATAAAGCTTATACGTTTCTATTAAATTCTACAAGCCTGTCCCATAAAGTTAATAATTGCTGGAAATAAAAGCTTTCTGGAGGTGGGGAAGGGTGGCGTACAGGAGGTGGAATTTCCCTGTCCCAATCTGACCCCTTCCAATTTATTTTGCTTGTAACGTATCATTTGGCTGATGATAGAGAGCAGAAAAACACAGTCTCCGGTGTAATAAAGTGCTGCCTTCCCGACTTCCCGTTTGAACTACCATGAACTCACGTACTCCAAGAGTGCCGCTAATATTTTCAATAATGCATTTTTGGCATCTCCTGACACTTCTTAGAGTCATTAAAATAAAACTAAATGGAAAATGCATTTTGCCTCCTCCTCACCTCCTCCCTCCGTTTCCATGGAGCAGAGCGAATTATCTTTTTAATAGCACTAATTGGTGGGCTGACAGATCCTGCTGCTGAGGCCAATCCTCTGAGCTTCTCTTTATCCCTTCTGCTGCCCCAGCCTCTTCTGCTGGATGGGACTGAAGTGCGGTTTGATAGTTTGTGAAAGTACTTTGACTTTTTGCCCTCGATTCGCTGACGCTACCTGAGCTCTGAGACCTGTTGACAGAGGAGCTTTCCTTTGTCTTTGCAAACTGACCCAGCTGCACGCCCGGCAAATAGACTCAGATGTTGAGCTTTTGTCTGAATGGCTCTTTCAGATGAATGCAGAGGAGAAGTAGGTTGAACAAACGCTAAGCTGGAGCCAGCAGCAGGAGCATGGAGCGGAGTTCTCGCTGAGAATTCACTGCCAGGGAATGGGGCTAACCACTCCGACAAGGTATTTGCTTCCCTTTGGGAATAACATTCCTGCAGCCAATAGCTCATCATGATTCTGCATCTAAACTGGGAGTTAATTAGCCCACTGTATGAAGAGGAGATTCACCCCCGGATTACATGTACTAATCTCTCAGCACACACACTCTTTGCACAGTGGTTTGGGACACCTGGAAAAAACATAATAGCTGAATCCAAAGAGCCCCAAGTCTAGCAAGTGGGAGTTTGCCATAGGGAGCATTCACCATAGCAGCCAAGTCAAAGAGAACATTGCAGACTATTCCCGGGGATTCCTGACTGCCAGAATTTGCTCTGCAAACCTGATTCTCAGCACTACACTGTCCTGGTCCCAGGCCAGAGAACGGTGCCACGGGAGCTTCGTGTCCAATCAA